GGCATGTTACGCCTCGGGAGTGAGAACGGGCTCTGATGTGATAGCCTCACACAGTCGCTGCAGATTTATCGGCTGAACAACCATGACGCAAATCCCCATTCCACTTCATCCCAAGCATGCTGTAGTGGACTAAAAGTGAACTCATTGTCATGTAAAATAAACTAATAGGAGATTAATTGGAGTGTGAGATAAGTACACTGTGGTCACAGAGGTATGGACATGGTCAGCAACAATGCTCAAGTAGGCTGTGCTATTTAAACAATACTCGGTTGGTGCTACCGGGCCAAATGTGTGCCAGGAAAATATCTCCTGCACTATTAAACCACCAACACAAGCATGAAGCATCGATACAAGGCAGCATAGACCCATGCTTTCATGTTCTTCTCTCCCCCCCTCTGGGCGACGCCTCTGCTGCATTTCCTGCAGGACTGAGAGGAGGAGAGCCACCTTTGTCCCCAAAGCCACTCTGCTTTTTAACACCAGCAGATAAGACCATTTCCCACACCAGAAACTTAAACTACTCTACACTCTTTTCATACTACTGACACTTTATTTACTTTTAGTCACTTACAGTTATTTATTCACCTTTCAGTCACTTTAATTTTAAAACTGTGTCATTTTAAAACTGTATATTCTGTGTATTTATTGTCTCACTCTTATCGCTTGTTCTTATTGTCCTTCTCGTCAACGTTATGCTGCTCTGTTGTATGTTAATTGCCCCTTGGGGATAAACAAATACTGCCTGGATTCAGAACAGAGGTCTTTACCAAAGAAAGGGGTAAAGACGCTTCTTTTTTGATGTGGTGTGAACTCGACTTTTTCTCACTTTTGACTCTTTTGGCTGATGTTTAGAAAGCTTCAGGGCTGCAGCACATGTGAGAATATATCTGGAGACACAGATCATGGTCATTCAGCCCCATCCCCAGATTCAGGAAGTGGCCCTCTGAGTTAGCAGGAAATTAGTTCAGCAGGGACCTACAGCTGCTGGGAAGTTTACCCAGTATTGTACTCCAGGAAGGAGTCAGGAAAGTGAGCCAAACGGCATTCATTTGGTAAAGTTTTCGATAAAATGCATCAACCACAAACTTTTATTTGGCCATTTTGAGTTTTTCAAGACTGCTGTGGAAGTGATTTTTTTTGCCTGTCAGTTTAATGCTGATATCCAGCTTTTTTTTTTTTAAGCAGCAGTTTAACTGCTTCTGTAATTTGACAGCTATTAAGTGTTTCCTTCCAGCTTGCTCAAGCATTTCCTTGCTGGATGAAAAAAATTCCCAGGCGCTGATGTAGAAACATTTTCTGTCTTCTCAACATTAATATAGCGAAACGTAGATTGATGACTTCCTGGAAAATAAAAAGTCGAAAACATAAAAACTTTTATTCCTGCACTACGTCTGTAATTAAACACCCTCCTGTTATGTAATGTGTTAGCAGGGCGGCTTCCTGCCAACATGCCCTTTTTTCCTCCCCTTTGTGTGTGTATGTTGCCAGAGAGACACACACAAACGCATGCACACACACACAGGTCAGCCGTACTATGTACCTGCAAAATACAGAGTGAGTGGTGTAAACTGCTTCACTCAGCATCACACATCACAGCCTTTCTCTGTCTCCTCACTGTAGTTTATTGTGTGTGTCAGATACATAGATACACACAAGCTTAAATGAAAATCAATAGCAGCTGATGGTCTTCGGAGTTGGATGTGATGATCGGGTGAAAATAAACTGCATGCATGGCAGTTATTATAGTATTATGCTGTTGACTAAGGATGTGCACGGCCAGATGATTAAGTGTTCCTGCCCTCACTATTCAGCACTGAAAACACTTCTCGTTTAAATTAATAATTTATATTTTATGAATGCATAAGACCAGCTGACTGTTAGGTCTAACACATGGGCATCCAACATGTGGGCCACGGACCAGTACCTGCACACCAAATGGCCCAGTTTATCCCACTAGATTTCTTTGCAGTTTGTGGAAACTGTACTTAAGTCGTTAAGTACTCCAATTCACTGTTGCTCCTGGTAAAGTGATGCCAGCCTTTAATTAATTCCTCATTAATGAGGAATCTGACATTCTGTTCTTTGGTAAAATATTAGACGAGTGGGGTAACTGGTGTCTCCAAGTTTGACTTACAGTTTCAGCTTTATTAAGATCTTAAGGCTCAAGTAAAAGTTGAGGTTGAGATCGATGACGGCTGTGTGAAGCTGCAGATGTGATGGTCCAGAAAATGCATGTTTTATGTAGAGTAAAGATAAACACTTAAACACTGCAATAAGCTGCTGGTGCTAGTGCTGCTGATATATATAATCTGGTAGAGCAGGGCGATAT